GAGATTCCTCTATTGAGAATTGTCTATTTAGATCTCTACTCCATTTCTAAACTGGATTATTTGGTGTTTTGGTGACTATCTTCTTGCATTCTTTGTATATTTTGGAAATCAGCCCTCTGTCAGATGTGGGGTTGTTGAAGATGCTTTCTTTTTGTCCATTGTATAACTTTAGCTTCTTTGTCAAAATTCTGGTGTTTGTAGGTGTGTGGGTTAATATCAGGGTTTTCAATTTGATCTCATTGGTCTACCTGTCTTTTTGTGCCAATACCAAGCTGTTTTCAGGACTATAGCTCTGTAATAGAGCTTTGAAGTCAGGGATGGTGATACTTTCAAAAGTTCCTTTATTGTACAAGGTTGTTTTGACTATACTGGGTTTTTTGTTTTTCCATATAAAGTTGAGTATTGTTGTTGCAAGGTCTGTGAAGAATTGGGTGCATGCCTTTAATCTCATCCTTGGGAGGCAGATCCAGGTGGATCTCTGTGAGTTCGAGGCCAGCCTGGTCTAGAAAGTGAGTTCCAGTATAGGCTCCAAAGCTACATAGAGAAATTCTATCTCAAAAAACCAAAAAGAAAAAATATACCTTTTGAAAATTTCATGCATAAATATAATGTTCTTTGATCAAATCCAGCTTCCATGCCCTGTCCTCCAACCTGCTGTGTTTTATGACCATTTCCCAATTGAGCAGAGCAGATTCACCGCAGTCAAAAGCCTATGCCAAAGCTAAGTCAACTGTAAGCTTTCTTTAGGATTGTGATAGACAAAAATGGTTTTTTAATTTTTTTCTGACGTGAGACAAAACAGATCCACAGTTGAATAAACTGCTTCTCTTCTATTGGTATTTTTAATATTTTGAATTGGGTGCCATAATTTTCAAGTTGGAGCATTGGGGAAAAGCAGTTTGACCCTTTGTTTGTTTGTTTCATGTAAAGATTAAGCCAAAACTTGCTTTCATTCCTAAACAGTAACAGTTTCCTGTAGCTGGTTGCATGGTGGTAGCCCTGGATGATGAATCCTGTTATCAGGATTAATGGAGGAATTTGTCATTGAGAACTCTGTCATGTTTGTGTCAGGCATTGTGGGGTTACTGTACTCCAGTGGAAAATAGGGCCAGTCTGTTCAAAAGAAAGAAAGGTTGTGGCAAGACAGAGACAGAAAAGCTGTCCGTGTGAATGCTGCAGGGAGCTTGCATGGGAAAGTGTACTACCTTTTGCATCTGCCTTTTAAAAGTTAGATACAGTTAGTGGTGAGCCTGGCTCTGTTCATTGTCCTTAGATACCCTGGCTTAGCTCTGTAATGATTTGTTTACATTTCTTCTTTTGCCTTATCTAGTTTATGAGATTATCTGTATTCATCAACCAGCAGAACCATGGCCAAGGCAAGAATACAAAGAAGTCAAAGGTGTATTGAAAGACTAAAGCTTATTTCTTGAGGGATGGCTAAAGTGACATATTGTTTTCTGACAGATGGCTTGCAAAAATTGATTCTGCTTAATCTGAATGACAATCAACTTGAGAGTCTTCCTCAAGAAGTTGGCAGGTAATTTTATTTATAGTGAAGCTTGATTAAACATTCCATGCCTCTCCTTTCCCAAAGTTCATCTCATTCCTTTGATGGTGTTAGGCCTTTTGTCTATGGTATATGCATGTGTTTACACATGTGAGTGGTAGTATGTGCAGACTATAGTCTGGCCTGGGGATGTCTTCCTCTGTCTCTTTCCTCCTTATTTATTGAGACAGGTTCTCTCATTGGACCTGGAACTCACCCTTTGTGCTAAACTGGGTGGAAGCTAGTCCCAGGTATCTGCCTATGTCTGACTCTAGCTTTGGGGTTACAAACATATGCCATTTGCCAGGCTGGAGGTGGTACACACTCAGGTCCTCATGCTTGTAGAGCAAGCATTTTACCAATGGAACCATTGCTCAGTCACTACATTTAAGCAAGTAATTTCTAACCACTTGAGAGAAATGAGAAATAGTGGGTAATGGAAGAGCGAAGTTGGGGTATAAAAACAGAAGGCCTTAAGGTGATATTATTGATAGGCCAGCTCAGTTCGTGGAGCTTGCTCAAACACAGACTGGGCACATTAAATTTTATTTCACCAGTGCCATAAACCATTTTGAGTTCGATGGGAGAGGGTCATATAAAAGCAAAGGATTTAAAATTACAATGTAATTTTTATTAAATAAAAACTGACATTTTATTATGATTAGCAACAACCAAAATATGTTGTTTTTCCTTATCCCGTACATCTGTGCAGACAGGCCATCATTATAGTGTTTCTGGAGCCACTGAAGGCCTGTCCTTCTGAGGAGTAAGCTCTCTGGAGCTGTTTCTCTCACACATGGAGAGAATTCTGCTTAGGTTGACGTTGGAGGTTCTCCATTGCACATTGAACAGAAACATACACATTACAGAGTAAGAGCAACTATAGGCTTCAAAGAGAATGTGACACTACAAGCACAGATACAGAACTGTCTGTCCTTATAGCCTAATGTGTTCCATTTCGCTTGTCTAAACTTCTTCCCGAATCCTTATATAGGGGAGGCAGTACTTTAAATGGAATAAACAGAAAACTAAAATAAATGGGGACTGGAGAGATGGCTCAGGGGTTAAGAGCACTGGCTAAGTTCAGAAGACCTAAGTTCAATTCCCAGTAACCACATGGTGGTTCACAACTGTCTATAATAGGATCTGATTCCCTCTTCTGGCATGCAGGTATACATGTAGAGCACTCATATAAAATATAAATAAATAAGATTTGAAAAAAAGAACAATCTAGTTGCTGTACAAGAGAAATACTTAGGATAATTAAATTGCCAGTAGTTGCTTGCTTGCTTTCCCATGATTTTAACTTACAAGTCAATTTGAGTTTGTACTGATGTTGTTAGGGTGGGAAGAACAAGACGTAAAGAGATCTTGTGACTCAGGTTCAAGAAATAGATCTTGTGCAACTAGCTTTATGACCTTGGACTAGGTAGTTAACTGACCTAGATCTCACTTTCTCCCCCTTGTAATGTGAGAATTTTGAACAGTGGAACTTCAAAGCTCTTGCATGATGATAAGACTTGGCATTTTGAGGAGCTGTCTGTGTTTGCAATGGGGTGTGCACTATTTAAAGACACATGTAGATGGAAGGTGATATACAAGAAAATGAAAACACAGCTTTCATTAGGAAAAGAGAGATTACAAGCCTGAGGCCCATGTGGTTTTTATAGCTAGCTCTAGGTTATCTGTATTCTCACCAGGCCATAGATACAAGCTTTTCAAGTGGAATTTTCCTTCATCATCCTGGAGAAGTTTCTTTTATTTTAAAGGTTTTAATTTTATTTTAAATTATGTAT